GTAGGCCGAGGGCTGAGCCTGCCGAGGAGACCGAAGATTTCTTGCTCGATCCGGCCAAGCCGGAGAGAGTCCTGAAGATTGGAGCCAAGCTCCCCGAAGACTTGAAGGCTGGCATCACCGAGGCCCTCCGCGCCTACTCCATTGTTTTTGCATGGGGGCCGGAGGATATGCCAGGAATTGACCGAAGGGTTATCACCCACCGCCTGGCGGTGGACCCTTCGGCCAAACCAGTACAGCAACGAAGACGACCCCTCTCGGCCGAGAGAAGGGAGTTCGTGAAGAAGGAGGTATCTATGCTCCTCTCCATCAAACACATTAAGGAGGTGAAATACCCTTCTTGGTTGGCAAACGTAGTCCTCGCACAGAAGCCTCCTACCTTCCGCATGTGCGTGGACTACACTGATCTGAATAAGGCGTGCCCTATGGACCCCTTCCCTCTGCCAAACATTGATCAACTGGTGGATGAGACCGCGGGATGCGAGATCATGTCATTCCTCGACGCGTTCCGTGGATATCATCAAATCTACATGCATGAGGGAGACGCTGAAAAAACCGCCTTCATGACACCCGAAGGTGTCTTCTGCTACCTTGTGATGGCCTTCGGCCTCAAGAATTCAGGCGCCACCTACACCCGAATGGTGGCCAGAGTCTTTCAAGCTGTCCTAGGACGCACCATGGAGGCTTACGTTGACGATATGATCGTCAAAAGTAAGAAGGCAAGCACTCACGCCGACGACCTCCGGGAGATTTTTGCCATCATGCAAAAATTCAACCTCCGGCTAAATCCAAAGAAATGCACCTTCGGCGTGCAGGGAGGAAAATTCTTGGGCTACATGGTCAGCCGAAGGGGTATTGAGGCCAACCCCGAGAAGATTCAGGCCATCATCAGCATGGAGCCTCCACGCAACGTCAAGGAAGTTCAACGGCTGACGGGTCGCTTGGCAGCCCTTAACCGTTTCCTCTCCAAATCAGCCGAGAGGGCCCTCCCCTTCTTCCAAATCATGAGGAAGACGGCGGGTTTTCAATGGACATCTGAATGTCAAGAGGCCTTTGACGAACTCAAGAAGTACCTCTCTTCTCCCCCGGTGCTCTCCAAACCAAAGGTGGGGGAGACTTTATACTTGTATCTCGGCGTTAGCCCTGCGGCCATCAGTTCAGTGCTAATCCGAGAAGAAGACGGCGTCCAACATGCCATCTTCTACGTCAGCAAAACCCTCCGGGAAGCCGAACTCAGGTATTCTCCCGTCGAGAAGACGGTGCTAGCCATCGTTTGGACCGTCAAGAAGCTTGGCCACTACTTTCAAGCTCATCCGGTCCAAGTGCTCACTCATCAACCCCTCGGCGCCCTCATGAGGAGTCCCACTAGCTCCTCTCGGATGGTGAAATGGGCCATCTTCCTCAGCCAATACAACATAGATATCCGTCCAAGGCCTGCCATTAAGGGCCAAGCCCTGGCAGACTTCGTAACAGAGTGCACCGCGAGATCAGCGGTGGCTGAGGAGCCTTCGGCACCCCTTGATGAGTGGTGGACCCTCTACACCGATGGCTCCTCAGCCACCAAAGCATGCGGAGGAGGGGTAGTCCTCATTACGCCCGAAGGCTTCCGCGCATATTATGCCATTCGCTTCTCCTTCAAAGTCTCCAACAACGAGGCCGAATACGAAGCCCTCCTCTGTGGCCTTCGGCTGGCAGCAAGTCTAAAGGCTAAGATGATCCACGTCAAGTGTGACTCCAAACTTGTTGTGGGTCAAATTTCCGGGGAGTACGAAGCCAAGGAAGGAAGGATGAAACAATACAAAGAAGCGGCTAAGGAGTTGCTCGAGGTGTTTGAGGCACATTCTCTCACCCAAATACCGAGGGCTCAAAACTCTGAGGCCGACATTCTATCCAAGCTCTCGGATGAATCCCCCGAGCACCTCTCAAAAATTGCAAGAATCGAGGAGCTCAGCCTCTCAAGCATCCACGCAAGCCCCATTATGAACATTAACCTGAGACCGGAGGATTGGATCTCCGACATCACCACCTTCATCACCACGGGGCAACTACCCCAAGATGAGGCCCGCGCGAGATTGACAAAACTGAGGGCTCCCAGCTACACCATCGAAAACGAGAGGCTTTACAAGAGATCTTACAACGGCACCCTCCTTCGGTGCCTTCATCAAGACGAGGCCGAAGTCGCCATGGAGGAAGTGCACAGTGGCACTTGCTCAGCTCACCAGGGACCTTTCTCCATGTCCCGAAGGCTCATAATTCAGGGATACTTCTGGCCCACGATGGCTAGAGATTGTGCTGACCTAGCCCGGAGGTGCACCGCTTGCCAACACTTTCAAAAGGCCCCCGGCAGACCAGCGGTCAACTATGCTCCCATCAGCACCGCTATACCCTTCTCCAGATGGGGGATTGATTTAGTGGGACCTCTGCCGAGGGGTACCTCCAACAACAGGTACATCATTGTGGCCATTGACTACTTCACCAAATGGGTAGAGGCCGAACCCCTCGCCAGCATCACGGAGGCGCGGTGCCGCCACTTTGTTCTCAAAAATATTCTCACAAGGTTTGGCGTCCCCCAACAAATCATCTCTGACAACGGGACTCAATTCGAGGCAGCCCCCTTCTGTTCCCTCCTGGAGGCATGGGGCATCAAACACACCTTTTCATCCGTTGCCTACCCCCAAGGCAACGGACAAGTAGAGAACGCCAACCGAACCCTACTTGAAGGATTGAAGAAGAAGCTGGAAGCCGAAGGGGGAGGCTGGGTAGAAGAGCTACACAACATCTTATGGGCCTACCGTACCACCCCTCGGCGTGCAACAGGCGAAACACCCTTCTCCCTATGCTATGGCTTTGAGGCTAAGGCTCCAACAGAAGTGACCCTTCCTACCCGAAGGGTGGAACAATATGAGCCCGAGGTCAACAAGGCCAGCATGGCCCTCGACCTTCATCTCATCTCAGAACGCCGAGAGCAAGCTTTTCTCAGGGCCGAAAACTATAGGAGACAAGTCAAAGGCTACATCAACGCAAAGGTCCGCTCCCGGGAATTTCAGGTGGGTGACTACGTCCTCCGACGAAGGGAGGCCAGCCTACCCACCGAAGGAGGGAAAATGGCTCCCAAGTTTGAAGGCCCCTACATCATCTCAGCCATCATCAAACCAGGGACATACAAATTAAAACGTCCTAATGGGACAGAGATTCCTAGACATTGGAATGTGCACCACCTGGTAAAGTTTTATCAATGAGCGGCCAAGCCCTCATCCTCAACAAAGTGTAAATATCAATGGCCCAAGGCCCCATCTGTTTTTGAAGAATAATCAAAAGGCCAAGCCTTCATCACCTACATATTGTACAAGCGGCCCAAGGCCCCCTTTCTCTCCTACAAATGAGTGGCCAAGCCCTCATCGCTTCACCAAAATAGGCCCAAGGCCTCTCCCTCTCATGAGGGGGAAAGACAGTTTAGGTACCAAGTACCAAGTGCATGGGTCAACCCCCGTCACTCTTTGAAAACACCAAGTGTTTTCTCAAACTTTTACATACTCTCCAAAAAAAAAAAAAAAAAAAAAAAAAAAAAAAAAAAACGGGGGGTGCAATACCCCTCGGCTCCGGCTGGCACCAAGTGCCCCCGACTATTTGTGTCCCACACACAAATAAAACCCTTCCCAGGAACGCTTTCCGCGCCATCCCCCAAGAGGAGGCAGGCAACGGACCATGTCCCGGGCCCAGGATTCGACTTCCACAAACGAAACGCTCCCCGCGCTATCCCCCAAGGGGAAGCAGGCAACAGACCATGTCTCGGGCTGAGGGGACGACTTTCAAAACCGAGGCGCTTTCCGTGCTATCTCCCAAGGGGAAGCAGGCAACAGACGATGTCTCGGGCCGAGGAAACGACCCTCAAACCCTTCGGGATATCGGAAGGTCATTCCCGAAGGGGGAGCCAACGGTTTGTTCCGTTGCCTCCCATATAGGCCAAGCCTTTCCTAGAAACCAAGTTTCTAGATGCCTCTCCTACACCATCTGAAAAAAAAAAAAAAAAAAAAAAAAAAAAAAAAAAAAAGATGTGTAGGGGGGAAGGAACTCCCCGGATACTATTCTCCCCGGAGGCTCAACACTTCGGATATACATTCCCGAAGGTTCCTACAAATGCACAAGAAAATCTCTCAACATCGAGTCATCTGGCTACATAGCCGAAAGCTTCACTACGTGAGGCCTCGGAGTACAAAAATTCCACCGGAGGCCCAAAAAAGAGGCTCACTAGCAGAACCTCACTAAGTCTATATGTGCACAAACCGGAGGCCTCAGGCCAAAGGCAGAATGTCAGCAGGCTCATTCAAGGATGGGAAAATTTCTAAGTCCACGTATCGGTATCCTTAGGGAAACACTCATCGAACCGGGGGGGCTACTCACAAGATCTGTTGGAAACACGTCTCAGAATTTCACTAAGTCCATAATCTCGAACCCCTCGGCAACCATATGTGCCGGGGGCTCAGAGTAGTTCCCATACCGGAAGGTTCACTACAACTACTACGGGAATATTGTGGAAATTTGACTAAGTCCACAATTGGAGACCCTTCAGGAGAGAACAGGGATGCCCTCTTCACTTACAGGGTTGCGGCCGATGGCCCCCCAAACTACTTGGCAGTGACCTACAGCTACACTACTAATTCATTTTAGCCCTCGGTCCTTGGATTTCACCCCGGAAGTATTACAAGGATTCTTTACCGGAGTTTGAATTTACTTGGATTATTTTCTGAGATTTTGCTCCACATCCGAAGGGTCCTAACAGAGGTCTGGCTTAGGAAAGTATCTAACTCCACAACGACGAGCCCCCGGCAACCCCGGGATACTACTGAGGGCTCATGATTGGGTTTACACTTAGAAAAATTTCTGAGTCCACAACCACAAACCCCCGGTAATTCTACACTACAGCCGAAGGCTTGTGGGGAGTCGCACTCAGAAATTTTTCTAAATCCACAAAGGAGAACATCATACATTCAAAATGCGAAGGATGGAAGGGAAGCAAAGACATACATTCATTCATACAATAAAATGAGACCCGAAGGCAAAACATTCATCACCGAAATATACAAGTACAGAAGATGTTTGTTTACAATACATGGCCGAAGCCGAAGCCTACTATGGCAAATGTTTACACATGAAATAACTCTAAGTCTCTGCCTCTCTGGCGACGTCTTCCTTCAGCTTCGAGACCGCGTCATCCCCGGCCTCTTCTTCATCAGAGTCACACCTTGCCAGCTCTGAATCTTCAAGCAGCTGCCTCTCCTCACCCTCGGGAAGGGGAATTCTGACATCTGGGAGCAAGGGAGGAAGGCCATAGGAAGCCGGTTCGAAGGCCTTCGGATCCACACCATGATGTCGGGCCAGCTTCCGGTACAACAGGGCTTGAGTGAAATATTGAGCCCCCTCATAAAAACTCTTCCCCTTCAGGGCAAGCCACATTGCCCCGGGGCCCTTCACCCAGCCATCGGCAGAAGCCTCCACCACTGAGGCCACCCACTGCTTCTGCTCTTCGGCCTTCCAGCCGTCAGCAATAAAAGCCGCCACCCGCCTCTTCCTTGGCCTTAGAGATAGCTTCCGCTTTAGCCTCCTCAGCCTTCTCGGCGGCTATCTTGGCGGCCTCAGCAGCGGCCCTCTCGGCTTCAGCTTTCCCCTCGGCCCGGGCTCCCTCCTTGGCTGCCTCCAATTTCTTCTCCGCCTGCCGGAGGGCCTCCTCCAAAATCGCCAGCTGCCGAATGGCCTCGGTATTATTGGCCACCAGCTTCCTCGTCACCTCGGCGGATTTTGCCCTCTCGAGGCGATGCTGCTCCGCCCTACGAACCAGTTCCCCGAAGGCCAGGCTCGCCTGCAAACATATAAGGAGGCACTCAATATCAGATTATTCAAAGAAAAGAGAAAAGGAGCTAAGGGCGCAAAAGATATAAACGCTTACAGTGGCCGAAGCTTGGAGAGCCTTAAGTTCGAGGGCTTCATCCCCGAACCGGCTGAGGGTGGACCGATCTACCGAAGGAGTGGCACCCTTCAAGAACTCCCTCGGATCGAGGGTGCCATGCATGATGGCTGTTCCCTTTTTGATTGGGAAATGCACAGTCTCGAGGGGCCAGGCCCCCTCGACGAGATCCTCTAGGGGAGCAGAGGCTGACGGTTGGCCGGCCGGGAGGTCGTCAATAACCACCACGGGGGTATCCTTCTGTCCGGCGTCCCCCTTTACCTTCTTCTTCTCCGGGGGCTGTAAGCCCTTCCCGGCGTTCTTCCTCTTGAGCTCCCCCGCCTTGGAGCCTCCGGCGTCAGCACCGGCATGCACGGTGGTGGCCTCCCTTAAGGGCCCTTGACCCTCAAGGGTCTTCTCCTTCTCGAAGAAGGCACCTACTTGGGGCTGTGAGGAAGACCCCTCCTCCTTCTTCTTCCTGGGCTCCTTGGAAAGCTTCTTAGTCAGCTTGGCGAACGCCTTCGGATCCATAATATCACCTGCACAAGAAAAGGAACGGTTAGAACCGCAACGAATGAAAGAGAAATTTTCTAAGTACCAAAAATCAAAGCCCTCGGCAACAACCTCCGGAGTTTAAGTACCCACGATCAATCAGGGGATACTTCTCATCCTTATCCCCCGGAAGGCGATACCTCCGGAAGCCCAGCAGGTACAGATCCTCGGCCAACGTGGCCTGCTTGATGGCGATGACTTTGTCCGAGCCCTCGGGTTTCTCCATCAGCTTCTTGCCGGCCTTCTGGAGGGCCGCACTACCCACCTTCGGGTGTCTCTTGAAGTGATCCCGCAAAGCCCCCGGGAATGGATTCTCCGCTATCCTGACGTAGCAAAACTTCTCCTTCCAATCCTTGTGAGACGAAGGAGTCTCGGAGAAAAGCTTCCAGGCAGGGACCTGCTGTAGATTCGCGTACCCGCCGGCATGAGAGTGCCCCCCTCGGCACAAGTTGAATGAGAGGAAAAACTGCTCCAACGTGGCCTCCACCTTCCGGCTTCGGCATAGAGATAGGAAGCCCGCCAGGTAGTAGTGGCTATTCGGGGTAAGCTGGCAGGGGGCCAGCTTCACGTACCTTAGGTACTCAAGGACGAAGGGATGAAGTGGGAACCTGAGGCCCAACTCCACCGACAACGTGTGCACCGCAAAACATCCCTCCGGGGGATGAGATAACAAGTCTTCGGGCCCCGGCTCCACGACTTGTACCGATGGCCCCACGAGGACCTGGAGGGCGTGGCAGTCGGCACTCGAGGCCGTAGTCTTCACCTCCAAGGCAGTGGTATCCAAGTAGGAGTGACCCTCGGGGATCCCAACCGGCCTCCCCGCATCCACGGCTGCCTGTTTCTTCTTCGGGACGACCCTCGACTTCTTCTTCCTACCCTCGGCTACCCTGAGGGGTTGAACATCCAACGGGCGAGAGGTGCTCGCCTCACCAGCTCCCCGTGAGGGCATAACAGCAACCGTTACCCGACGGCGCTCCTTCTCCTCTTCTTCCTCAGCCACTTGGACGGCGATGGCCATCTCTTCATCCTCCACCACTTGCTCAAACTCCTCCGCCTCCATCTCTGCCCGAAGGCTGCTCTGTACCTCCTCAGCTAAGGCAAGGTCGTTGTTCGTCGAGGGCTGTTCGCTTGAGGATTCCACCTCGGAAACGCTCTCGACCTCTACCGACGGCCCCCTCGAGATATCTTGCGAATCACTTTGGGATGACATCTTACCCGAAGGGGTTGTGGATGACTTAGGAAGGGATACTACTCAAGGATTCCAGCCGAAGGCTCCTAAAAGACGCTAACCCTAGATCTAAGGCCGGGATAGCAAAATATGTTGAAAAGAGGAAGAACAGGTGAAGAACTGACCTTAGGGTTTGGTTTTGATCGGAACTCGGTTTCTCTCTCTAGAAAAATTGGCAGAGCTTCGCTTCAATAAAATCACACAACGACAAATGAATCAGACTTGGAGTATTTATAGGCAACTGGGCCTCGAAAACTGGGCCTCGACTCGAAAGCCCATCATTACGGGCCGCCGGTTCAACCAATGGGTGACACCCGCCCCCCATCTGCCAATGACAAAGCGCCACGTGGAACCCTCTTCCAACGGCTATATTACAACGACTATATTTCGGCAACACTGGGGTGCCCTCGAATGATAGCCTCCGGCTATCACTCACCACAACCTCCGCCCAACAAAATTCGACAAGCACCTTCGAACTGCCAGGAGCATAAGCCCCCGGCTATCAGTGTTGGCACTCACCAGCCAGAGATTACCCCTCGGGGTCATAAGCAAACATCACAACTCCTTCAGCCCGAACTAAGCCTTCGGTCTAAAGGAGTGGGGGACTGGGACACACCCCTCGGTAATCACACGTGACTAAAAACAAAAATTCCCACGGATAACGCATGTAGCCCTCGAGTACATGCATCATCGCACCCCTTCGGTAGAGGCCTAAAATCAAAAATTCTCCACAAAGTCACTGACGATAATAAAACAGCCTTCATCACAACACATTCAGATATTATTTACGCCTCCCTCAGAAAACCCCCGACATGTGAGGAACTGAGGAGAGGTTCCGGCATTCATACAAGCGTTACACTTCCTTCAGAAAACCCTCGGCATGTGAGGGACTGAGGGAAGCCTTCGGCTATCAACAGAAGGCAAATTCTCAAACAAATGCACCCAACTAAATGATGAAGCCTCCGGAAGAATCTACACTTCTACTCCTTTTCCCTCAAGTACCTTTCGACAAAAGGAGTGAGGGACTCCTGATGGAGTATATGGCCCAGGAACCCCCGGCCCATAGACTCCTACTTCTCCTACACAAGTCCGTTGAGCCCAGAGAACAACTCAGGCCCAAAGTACAGCGGCCCAAGCCTCAACGTAGCCCAGAATACGCACTGGGGTGCCTTCGGCCTCCTTGGCCGAAGGCTCTAAATCTCACAGGGTAGCCTTCTCTGGCATAAGGGGCTACTGGGAGAAAACGGCGAAAAACATGAGCCTTCGGCATTATCCAGCCCTCGGCATCAGGGAAGCCTTCGGCTGAACAAAGCCTTCGATCACACAAGGCCTTCGGCTACACAGGGGTCCTTGGTCACATGGAGCCCTCGGCTACACAAGGAGCCTTCGGCTGAACCAGCTCAATCATCAAAGATTCCTTTTGGGGACAGCCAACCACCGCATTTAAAGCCGCGTCACATCCGCCAACCGCATTCAATGCGGTGAACGTACCACTGCCGGTGCCAACCGGTTGATGTGACCCTTCGGCCGTTGGATTACTGACACGTGTCCTCTCATCGCATTTATTGCTGTTATAAATAGCAGCCCATTTCTCCTTGTAAAACAGGATCTACATCTCAACTCCACATCTCGAGTTCATTTAATAAAATCGACTCTCCCTCCTCCTATTTACTCTGACTTCTCTCTAACTTATTCCCACAATAACCCCTCGGATAAGATACCCCCCGGGTAGACTATCCATCAGCGAGATCAACATATTTTATCACAATTTAGTTCTAATATGAATTATTGAGATATTATAAATATATAATGCACATATGGTAACCTAAATATGCACATACAGTAACTTTAATATGCACATCTCGCAAGCTTAATATATCATGCACATTCCATAACCCTACTATGCAGTGCTAAAAAATGAAAGGTTAATTAGGAAGTGATTAATTCCGAAAATCAAATTATTTATTTAATTACTGAAAATTAATTATTAATTATTAATATTTAAAATGGGAAAGTTATTTTTCAATTTACTAATGCAAAACGTGGGATTCCATGCATGGAGAAAATATGCAATTTTCCTTGTTTAAACTTATATGGAGAAACTATGCAACCTTCCATATTTAATTTTCTTTTATTTTGACGGTTGCAATAGAAGTGGTAGATTAGCATAAATGATGAGATTGTGTTCTATTTTATTTCCTGATTTAGATTGACCGTTCCTTTTATTTATAAAGCTAATTTACTTTTGTATCCTTTCCCATTAACTGAACGTTGTAGTGGTACAACCATATTTAATTCCATGTATCTCACCTTACAAACTCATACGGTGTGTGCTATATGCACAACCATCGATTTGGCTAATCTGGACGTACGTGAATAGTTTGTAGTTTGCACCGGAAGCCTGGTTTGCATGTGATCTTCACCCTATATATATATATATATATATATATATATATATATATATATATATATATATATATATATATATATATATATATATATATATATATATATATATATATATATATATATATATATATATATTGGAAACCATTCTTGTGAGGTATACCTTGAACAAAGTTAGGCCTCATTCAATTAAAACCATAGGATTTCTTAAAATTGTATGGCCAGGATTTTTCCCAAAACCCACTTTCCTCTCTCATCTTTCATCTCCTGTACGTACTACCCAAGTACCCAACCACCCCCATCCCACTTTCCTCTCTCCTTTTAATCATACACCATCTCCAAAAACCCTCTCATCCTCAAACTTCAGCGGACAAAAAAAAATCTCCGACCCAATTGACGATTATAGTTGTACCGACTTGTTCTTCGTCTGCGAGCTCCCAAACCCATGTGTGATTTTATTTCTCGACTCTCACTTCTTCTTCTCGTACTCAGATTCCAACCCCAATTAAAAATTGAATTTCAATTTTCTGTTAAAAACTTGGATCGTAATCTGTTATTTTAATTACAATAATTTATTTATGGTTTTCAATTTGTTATTTTATACCTAGGAAGAATTTTATTAGGTGTATACGGAAGTCAAGATCTAAATAGACTTCGTATTACTTGGGTTAATTACATGGCAGATTTTTTTTTTTGATTACATGAGTGAATTACATGGCAGATTTTTTATTTAATTACATGGGTTGATTATAACGTGTAAAAATATTAAGTACTATTTTAATTAGACTCAGTGAAGATGTAAATAATGCAAGTTAAAAGTGAAGTTGTTCGATTGCATTGCCTTTATTTCAGTGAAATATTTATTGATGATGTCCATTATTTTTTTTTGTAGTTATGTCAAGCAATGCCAATGGTTGTGTAGAAGATGTTCATTGTTGTCCAGGTACTTGTGGTCCATTGCAATTGAAGGAGACCAAATCAGGTGCTAACAAGGGGAGGTTGTATTTGAAGTGTGGATGTTGTGATTTTTTCATTTGGTATGATAAGGTGTGTCAAGCAACACATGGATCCAACCGGAGAGATGCTGGCCATACTCTGTTGAGTAGCAAAATAGTGGAAATTTGGAAAATGGTGTTTCACCGATTGTAAAAGAGGATGTTGATGCTGATTTTAATTATCATCTCAAGGGTGTCAAATATTTAGTACTTGTCATTGTTGTCCTATTGCTTGTTATCATTGCAAAATTGTAATTGTACAATTCAGTCGTGATCCAGTTAGTCGACTATTTGTGTAATTTGTTCGGATATCCAGTTTAAATTTAAAGGACGCATGTTTGTTGCTTATTTTTTGTTTCTTAGGATATCAAGTAAATTGTTATCATTCTGTTCGAATATCGAGTAAATTTAAAGGAAGCATGTTCGGATATCCTGTAATTTGTTATCATTGCATGTATGAATGTATGATGGAGGGGCCTTTGTTGCTTATTTTTTGTTTACTGAAATTGTAGCTTAGAGCAAAACCAATTGTAAACAAATTTACATTTCAATTGTAAATCCCAAAGGTAACATCCAGAATTACTTAAAGTACCTTAGATGTTTAAAAATGCAAGTCCTTATCACATGATAAACATATATGATAACCATCCATTGTCTTCTAATCCATGCTCTTGGATTAGAATCTGCCACCTTGTTTCAAACTCTTCGGGATTTTCAGAATATTTAATAATATAGAAAATGGCACGAAAATTAGGATCACCATTTACTGGACCTCCAACCTTTTCAGGAATCTTGTTCAGAATATGCCAAATACAGTAGCGATGATATGCCTGAGGTAAGACTGAATTAATCGCTTTATCTAAAGCTGGATCCTGATCAGTTATCATCATTTTGGGTGGTGGCCCAGTCATAACTTCTAAGAAGGCTCTCAAAACCCATTCATATGACTCAAAGGACTCCGTACATAAAAATGCACAACCGAACATAACAGTCTGGAAATGATGGTTAACCCCAACAAAGGGTATGAATGGAAAACCGTAGCGGTTGGTATTGTATGTGGAGTCAAGAGTAACCACATCACCAAAAAAGTGAAAAGACCGCCTCGATGTCGGATCAGCCCAAAAGGCCAATTCAATCTTTTTCTCACCGTTGGTCTTAACTTTATAAAAGAATGATGGGTTATGTTCTTTCTCTAAAATGAAGTGCTCCACGAACAATTGTGCATCTTGCCCCTTAACCTTTACATTTTCATCTCTAACGTAGTTCCTTAAATCCGTTTCTACAAACCCTACATCACCAACTCCCATCGACTCAGCGGTGAATAGGCCCATTGCTTGAGGAATTGAAACATTAACTGATTGTAATGTGGAGAACAATTTTTTCTTTGCACATGACAGTTTACGGTGAGATTTGAGCCTATGAACCTTACTTGGTGTTACACAAATATGGTTATGAACCTCTTCAAATCGATAAACCTTAAACAACTCACTTGTTTTTGGTTTTGCAATGCCAAGCATCGCATGACACCCTGTACGTGTGCTATTCCTATGTCTCTCATTATTGATGTCATGCATGGGTTTTGTTTCAAACCCTTGCTTGTTACAAGTATAGACTCTGGACTTCACAAGCTTTGTTTCTTTGTTTATTTTCATTGAAGCCTTTCGAACACTAAAACCTGCAAGTTTGGCGTACGCATTGTAGAATGCATAGGCAGCTTCTAAATCTTCAAACAGCATCCCAACAAATGGTTTTTTATCTTCTGGAACATCGGGGATGTATTCTACTACACTCTGGCTAAAGGCAGTTGTATGCCATGATGACTCCATCTAAAATCAATAATATAATCTTACATTTCATATTCAACTAATCAACTTAGACATTTGTACTAAAAAGTGTAAATTCTTAAACCAAGTTATAAGTGATATCGGTAAAAAGCAATATATTTCTACAACGAAGTTGTTCCAGAATATATGTTAAGCCATCCCAAATCAAGATGAAAAATTTAATTGCAATTTTCTATTAAATTATTATTTATATTTCATTAATTTATCACAAATTTTAGAGAGAAAAAATACATCATTTATCCCAACCCAATCGTTCAATCAGTTCCCCGAATAGTAAGCCTAGATTCTCCTAAAATGTTCAAGCAAAATTAAAATAGTAGTAGCTTCGTACCTGTGTCGACCCTAGGCGGTGGCTTCAATTCGGCGGATAATTAAGCTTGGGAGGAAGAGGCTTTGCTTTGAACATGGCGTATGATTAATACAGGAGAGAGGGGAAGTGGGTTTATGGAGGTTGGGGTGTTGGGGATATGGAGGAGCTCGTACAGGAGATGAAAGATGAGAGAGGAAAGTGGGTTTTGGAAAAAATCCTGGCCATACAATTTTAAGTGATCCTATGGTTTTAATTGAATGAGGCCTAACTTTTTTTAAGGTATACCTCACAAGAATGGTTTCCTATATATGTGTGTGTGTGTGTGTGTGTGTGTGTGTGTGTGTGTGTGTGTGTGTGTGTGTGTGTGTGTGTGTGTGTGTGTGTGTATATGTATATATATGTGTGTGTGTGTGTGTGTGTGTGTGTGTGTGTGTGTGTGTGTATATGTATATATATGTATATATATATATGTATATATGTATATATATGTGTGTGTGTGTGTATATATATATATTATTTATATAATTATTATATCTACTTATATATTAATTATCTACTTATATACCTATATTATATTACTAATATTTATTATCTACTTAATATTTACTTATTATCTACTTATACATCTCCATCTTTTTAATATTTACTTTATTGTCTATATTTATTGTTATTTACTTATATATATTAAAGTATATATACGTGTATTACTCATCTTATAGTAATATACTTATATATTATATACTATAAACATTATATTATATGTTAGTTATACAATAATCTACTTATATACATATATTATTTTACTAATATTTATTATCTATTTAATACATACTTATTATCTACTTATACATCTCCATCTCTTTAATATTTACTTTATTATCTATATTTATTGTTATTACTTATATATATTAAAGTATTATATATAAGTGTATTACTCATCTTATAGTAATATACTTATATATTATATACTATAAACATTACATTATAAATTAGTTATACAATTATATTAGTTACACTTGAATTCATAGTAATTAAATTCATCGTATTAGTTAATTTTTACATTTCTCATTATCCTATTTTAGTTCATTAATTACATTTTTCATTAAAATATAAAAGTAGTTAATTGTTACAACTAACCCAATAAATTAGTTAATTGTTACTTTTATTATCATAAAAGTAAAAAACTAGTTAATTAGTAATTGGTGCATTAAAGTATAAAACTAGTTAATTAGTAATTGGTGCATTAAAGTATAAAACTAGTTAATAGTTACATTTTTCATTTCCCTATTATTTAATTTGTTAATTGTTCCATTTATCATAAAAGTAAAAAACTAGTTAATTATTAATTGCTGCATTAAAGTATAAAACTAGTTAATAGTTACATTTTCCATTTCCATATTATTTAATTTGTCAATTGTTGCATTTATCATAAAAGTAAAAAACTAGTTAATTATTAAATGTTGCATTAAAGTATAAAACTAGTTAATAGTTACATTTTTCATTTCCCTATTATTTAATTTGTTAATTGTTGCATTTATCATAAAAGTAAAAAACTAGTTAATTATTAATTGTTGCATTAAAGTATAAAACTAGTTAATTGTTACAATTTTCATTTCCCTATTATTTAATTTGCTATAATTTTATTAGTAAGTGGATTCTTGGAAATTTGCCATAATTTTATTAGTCGCTTTTTATTATTACTATTGTACTCATATTAAAACATTTGATATCATATAATATTTGTTACATTTTAAAGATGGACCGTGGCAGACATTCTGTAGATATGAGTAATCTCCAACGCAACCGAAGGAAGGAGATTGCGACAAGTCATCCTAGTTTACGCAAAGGCACAGGTAAAGGGCGGGCCGGGTCTTCTTCTCAAAGTCGAGAAGATTTTGAAACAGGATACCAAAGGCGAGATGGGGATGCGATGTCCGACAAGCAACTACAACAACTATTGGCGCAAAATGATGGTCGCTTTTTCCAACAACAAAACATTCCGGAGTCCATTCATGAAGAGGAGCTCGAGGATGACGATGCGGAGGAGGACGAGGGGGGCGACGGGACTCACGGCACCCCGGATGATGAGCAAGAGTTGGAGGACGAGGGCGGTTCATCCCAAGTTGGTAAGAAATCTAAATCTCCTATTATAGAAAATAATTTTACAAAGAGGAAAGACAAAACAACCGATAAATGGTACGCAAGTTGTAATCATTGCAAGGAGTATAGCTTGGGAACTTCCGGCAGATACGGGAGCCTCAAAAGGCATCTTAAGTCGGCGCACTCTGTGGAGTATGCGAAAATAGACAAAGGCAAGGGGAAGCAAACTCAAATATCGAGGTTTGCAAATGACCAACCTTTTGGTAATTTCTCATACAATGATGCACAAAATTTGACTGGTATGGCTAACTTGTTGAAGAAAATTTGCCTTATTTGTTTTCTGAAAGTCTTGCTTCTAAAGATTATGCACAAACTTGTTTAAATCCTCAATTTAAAAGTTATAGTCACAAAACGGTTAAGAAAGAAATTATAAGGCTTTATCGTGCGGAAAAGGATAGGTTACAAATTTTTTTTTGCAAACTTTGATGGCCGTATAACTATTTGTTCTGATTTTTGGGAGGATACTTATCATAATTTACTTTATTTGGGTCTGACTGCACATTTTATTGATAGTGATTGGAATTTGCATAAACGTGTTCTTGCTTTTCGTGAATTTAATGATCGTCACACCGCCGAACATATTTATATTTTGATTGAACGTATTTTAACTGAGTATAATTTGATTGATAAGGTGTTTGCTATAGGTTTTGATAATGCTACTAATAATACTGCTGCTATATCTAGATTGCGTGAATTGTGTGGTTCTAATACTTTGATGAGTAGATTTTTTCATCAACGATGTGCATGTCATATTATAAATTTATGTGTGCAAGATGGTATAAAAGCGTTAGGAGATGCTATGGAGGTAGTCAAGGGGGGATTAGACGTATTTGGGGCAATGGTCAACTTAAATTAAAATGGCAAAATTATTTGATTGAAAGAGGTGTGAAATATGTTGCTTTTCCTAAAGATTTGTCTATTCGGTGGAATAGTACTTATAAATTAATTAAAGTTCTTCTTAGATATAAAGAACATTTTCCTGCTTTTTAAGACAATATGATACTATATTTAAAACTCCGCTCACATCGACACTTGCGAAAAAATTGTAATGTTTTGATATATTTTAATAATGCAACTAATAGTTTTAGTCATGTTTATAAACCTATCTCAAACGAATTTATTCGTGAAGTTGTTAATCTCGCCGGTGCTTTTAATGAATTTGAAAATGCCGCTTACGTGAGTTATTTTTGTGATTTTATGAAGGAAAAGTTTTTAAAATATTATGCACATATTCCGCATATTTATGGTATTGCATTTATTCTCGATCCTCGTTATAGACTTGGTAATTTGGAAGAATGTTTGAAGTTCTATTATAATGCTTTTTTTGTCCATTTCCAATGTATGACGATAACGCCATAGATCCGCAAGTTGAATACAACGAGGTTAATAATTTATTTTATGCCTTATTTAATGAGTTTCGTGTACAATATGGCAACACGCTCCCTCCCCCGACACACACATCTTCATCTAAAGGAAAATCATTTTTTAAATCTGCTTTTGGCAATCTGTTGAAAAAACCTAAAACAACTCACACTACTGAACAAAGCGCACTTAATGAAATTGCTTTGTATATAAATTATGAGGTAGAATTTGACGAAAATGAGGAATTTGACGTTCTAAAGTGGTGGAAGTCAAAAGAAAGAATGTTCCCGATTTTGGCACAGATGGCTAAGCAAGTGCTATTAATGCCGGTTTCAACAGTTGCCGTGGAACAAGAATTTAGTTCGGCCGGCAACGTTCTAACGGCAATACGGCATCTAGAACGAGTTTGAGCGCAGAGTCTCTTGAGACGCTTATATGCTACCACGATTGGTTGAAGGCCATAGGTAGAACTCAAGAAATTAGCATCACCCACTCCCAAGACTTTATGGATGAATCAACAACCGAGGGTGGCTCCTATGCCGGAGATTCTGATTGATTAGTATTTTACAATTTATTATAAAATGTATTTCATAATGTAAAGTTGTAAATTTGTAGTTCATATTTCAAATAAATATGTAACTATTGTAAGTTTTAAATTTTCCCTAAATTCTCTATTGTAATTCGTAAAGTTGTAGTTCATATTTCAAATAAATATACATTCTTTTTTTTAATATGTAGCACTTCTCAAATTAATTAATTAATTAGTTACAAACTTACAACTTACAACTTAGAATTTATTGTATTAGTATTTTTTGAAAAATGTATTTCATATTTAAGTTTTATTAAATAAGTAAAAAAAAATACATGGGCCCGACCCGACCCAGCGGGTGGCCCGGCCCGGGAACCGGGCTGGTGACCTGGCCCGAACCGGCACCGGGCGAAGGACGGGCCGGTTCCGGGCCCCCCAATCCAGGACCGGAGGCCCGACTGGGCCTAGGCCCGGCCCGAGCCCGAACCGGCCCGAGTCCAGGACTACCCCCAAGTCCTCCACCGATTTACATCAAAAGAAAATTTAGTTTTAGGAGGTTTGTTATCGGAATAAAATTTTCTGGTCTGATCTTACCTGATTTGATATGTTTAAGTTTTGTCTAGTTTACTCTAATCTAAACGAATCTGGTTTGGTTTAATAGATGTCTAGCTTATGTGTATTTTATAACTGTTGAAGTCTGGTCTAGTCTAGTTGTTAAATTTGTTCTGTTATGGGACTGAAATAAGTCTTAGTAAAAACATCATTAACAATATACGTGTTTTAAATAATATAAAAACCCTTCTAGTTTAGTAGTATTTGAAATAGGCCATTGTACTTTCAATTTGGTTAATTTTTTGAATTTGATGGAATTGATTGATTTGAAAAAAAAAGTAGGACTCAATTAATTTTTTCGCGAGAGTACGAGTACTTATTTGACAGTTTTCTCAATTTTTTACAATCCAAATTAATAAAACTAACTAAGTTAACTAAATTTCCAAGTTTTGGCAATGAAAACAGAAAGGAGACAATCTTATTGAGAACAATGTTCATATTTCCTTAATTGTTTAAGAATTTTATGGATCATGAGTTATTCGTTGAAATTCTTTTTCGTGAATGTACGTACATCTCTCTGATCTTGGGAAAAATTCATTTGAGAAATAATTCAAAAGTTTCTTTAATTATATACATTGTATTTGAAAAACTCGCTTTTGATTCTGTAAATATTGTCGAAGAAGTGAAGGACACTTGGGGTTTTCCTTAACATGCAATATTAGGATTCTAATAATTCTATATATTAGTATTTGAAAACTCCACTTTTGATACTATAAATATGACTAAGGACACATGGGATTTGATTTTGCTTGACATATAAATATGTATTTGGATTCCAAGAACTGACCGGCGGAAATGATTTTAATGATACGTCAATTCTATAATCAATCTATGAAACATTTGTAAGATTTTGAAGTATTCTTTGCAAATATATTGAATCCAACTATCCAAGGACAGCATATTTCGCCGATCATTTTCAAGATTTAGCACAACATTCCAATTCCATGCGTCTAAATTACAACCCTCAAGTTATGCAAATATCAATTTCACATCAATCTACTTATCTACCTTTTGTAGGAATTGGATTCACTGGTACATGGGCGTAGCTCAACTGGTAGCGAGGGACTGCTACAAGGGTTAGGTCTCGGGTTCGAATCCCGGCAACTCCGATGAGGGGTTACTATGCTGAAAAATGCATAGGGCTTCTGCAAGTACCGAGGACAGAGGTCCACTCTCTATCTGTCAGATTGTGATTATAGTCCAATTTACATCCTCTCATCGTGCAGTCCGGTCGGTGTTGGGGGCCCTCAAGGATGGGGTGTCATCCTTTTTTTTGGATTCAACGGTACATACATGACAACTTTTATGAATATATCCCTAAATTACCTCTTGCTCATGGTAAATAATGAATATATCCCTATAATGCACATTTCTGCACATTTCTATTTCACTTAGTGCACATTCCAGTATGATCAAATGCACAATTCAGTTCGCTCATAATACAATCCAACGGTCCAGATTCATTCTCATTTCTCTCATGGGAGTCCGTTCTCACTGGAACCACTCTCTATCCCTATATCACCTATATAGTAGGAGATAGGCATTTATGAGAACTTTAATTTTAATTTCTCAACGGTCTGAACTAATCGGAAGCGCCGACCACCTCGAAGTGCTTTCTGGTGAAATTTTGATGAAATTTTGTAAATAAATTTAGATTAGGGATAATGTTAAATTACTTGATGAGACATAGACATCAAGAAGACATTAAATACAGAAATCATGGGAGAAACTTTATGAGTCATATTATGATTAATGTCATTAATTTTATCAGTTATGTCTACCAATTGTATTACTACGTATAATTATACGAGGCATCGATGGCCTGTCTTCCTCTTGAATGAGCGCCACCAGATAAATAAATTGTTTGGGGCCAAAGATTGTAGTTGATTTTCATCAAACGAACTTGATTAAACTGATTTGGCTCTTTAGAGGCCGTTTGGCAACACTATTTTTCAGCTTATCAGGCTTATCAGTCAACTTTTTCACCAAACACGTAACTTTTGCTTTCGCGCACTGAATTGTGTAATAAGCAGAAAAAGTAAGTTTGGAGTTACTTTTGTATTGGCTGAAGTTACTGTAGATGACCATTTTAGTTATTTTTATATATAATTTTTTCTTTACTTTATTAATAAAATATATTTTAAAAAGAACTTTTTCTTAAATCGGCAGAACCAGCCAATGCAGCCACTTCAGCCAGAACTTCATAAATTTCAGCAGAATCAGCCAAAACAGCCGATTTTCGTGCTACCAAACGGGCTCTTAGTGTTTTATGTTTCAATCCACTAGGAAAGTTGGAATAATAGTTGGGGTTTGTCCACTAATATTACTAAAATTCTACTAATATTACTAAAATTAAGCTATTGGACAAAAAATAGACCTTTTTTAAAAAGTTCCAAAAATGTGAGTAATAAGATTGAAACTTACTAAATTACCCCTCATCACTTACAAATGACAGTGACAAAACCCGCCCAGTGACCTAACCCGCACAGTGACATAATCGCTTCAGTGACCAACCCGTCCAGTGACCTGACTCAATTAGTTACAATTACTCAACCCAGTCAGTTACAGTTACCAAATTTGACCAATTACAGTTACTCAATCTGTTTAGTACGTTACCAAATAGTTACGTTTACCAAATCCGGCCGCTTACAAATTACAATCATCTGACCTCATAAAGTTATAGTTACACAATCTCATTAGTTACAATTATCTAATCCAATTAGTTACCTGGTCATAGCCCCCTATCCATCCCCATTCGGTCATCCCCCTCTCAAAATCTGATATCGGATATGATCATATCCACTCTGACTTCATTCAAAATCCGCAGAGGCGCAGAGCTTCATTATCCCGGAATAGGTCACCATCAATTTCAATCGTTGTCGCTAGAGAGAAAAAAAAGTTCGGATCTGAGACCTAGCAACCGGTAACTTTAGATGTGAACTTTGAAGAAACAGTCGACACAGATCTGGGAGTGAAAGTTTGCACTTGATTTGAAGTACATCGAAGCCGTGAAAGAAGAATAAGACAATGTCGATCAACAGTGGTGAACTTCCTGCAATTTGAAGTATCTAAAACTTACTTAATTCTTGATTTAAAGTAACACACCTCATTATTCAAGCAATTTGAGTAAATAAAAACTAAAGGACCAACGAAAAAATGATGGATCTATATTTTGCTTCCTTAATTACCAATTGTGTTTTACTGATTATTATCAATATATTACTCTCTCCGTCCCATTTTACCTGTCTTACTTTCCCTTTTGGGTTGTCCCAAAATAAGTGTCACCTTTCCCTTTTTGGAAAGAAATATGTGATTCACAACATTCTACTTTACTATGCTCAAATCTCAAACACAACTTTTACCTTTTCAACCACTTTATTAAAAATTATGCCAAAACCAAATGAGACACATAAAATGGGTGGAACACTGGAACGTAGTAATATATAATACTAATAAATTTTCAAAAATATGGGGCCCCATAAATTTGGGGGCCCTGTTCCGGATAACCTAATTAATCCCCTAAAAACAGCTCTGCTTCTTTTCTTCAAATGAAGTCTGATCCTATTTGTGTCCAATTGGATAAGTGGTCATAGATATCTCTTTCAAAACCGTAGAAGTGTTATTCTGGTTATTCTTTCACAATAATTACATTATTAGAACAGAATACGTGATTTTCGATTTGAAATTGAGCAAATTGTGATCGAAAAAATATCTATTTTCCCCTATCGTGGAATCAATTTAGAACGGGAATATGGAATACTCCATGAGTGAATTATTGAGATGGTGACACATGCATGACATTATTTCCCTCATCGGATCTTTAATGTTTATTACGTACAGACAACATCATTATATACGGAGTACATTATAATATTCCCTTGAAAACCCTCATTGTTTTACGTAATTGTCTTAACACTGTAATCACGTCATTAGAACAGCTAGAATAGATGTGATTTCCAATGACTAGGTGCCTAATAAGCTAGGCTAATGGTTCCACCTAACCACTTGCATTGGACTGAACCATCTGTGGTCTATAAATTGAAGCCATTTGAGCATAAGGTAATTACTTTATCCACTCTCCATTTCCTAATCTCCTCTCTATTTATCTTAAGTTAACTTCAATTCATCGTTTAATTTAAAACACTTATTAGCATCGTCCTAACTCCTAACCATGCTGCCTGTGGACACTGCACGCTTTATTATTGGCATAATCGGTTAGTTTCTCTTCAACTTGATTAATGATTTCCAAAATCCTCCTGCAATTTTCTCATTTCTCTTCAAGCTAGTAATGTGATCTCTTATGATCATTTGTCGGCGATCAGTTAAGCTGGACCGCTTAGCTTCCTCTAATTGTATTTATGTATATGTTTCTAGCAATTAAACTACTCCGTATGCCCTATTGTCTGAAAGTCTAGCACCCTTAATCTCCCTATTGTATTTGTTTAATTAATTAATAATTTACTTTGATTAATTATTTCATTCCGCATTGCGCACCCGGATTGATTAAAAAGCAATAAAATGGAATGCAATTTTATTTTTTCCATCTTAATTAACTTATCTTCACATTTAGGATTGCATATTGTATCACAAATAATATACCTTGCAGGCTTGCATGATGTTAACGCTACTGATGCAAATGTGTTTATTTATCATTTCCAGGGAACGTTATATCTCTGGTCTTGTTCTTGTCACCTTTGTAAGCTCCATATTTTATTAGCTCAGCACTTTGTTTAAGGATCTAACATAATTGCTTTTAGGCAATAATATAATCCAGAACGCCTGTGAGTTCATTTTTGGATATATCTGTACGTAAATGATGAATGATGATGAGTATTGGTGACTGCTGAAAGTTGAAAGTTAAACATCTTGTTGGAAAATCATTTAATTAGTTTATAATTAAGCTTAATTTTAGAAACATTTATCCGGTAGAATTGGCTTAGGAGGCTAAGGTTTATGTAATTATAGTGCTTGTGTTTGTAAGCAATTAGGTAACCCAATAAGTTACCAAATTGCTTTTTGAGAAAAAGTGATTAGTAGTAAAAGTTGGTAGTGTTTGGTAAAATAAGTGCTTTTTGTGTAATAGAAAAAGTAAAAAGTAGATTCTACACGAAAACTGAGGAAGTAAAAGTTGATAGTGTTTGGTAAAATAAGTGTTTTTTTCTTTAAAAAAACCAAAATCACTTTTTTTAATTGATTGGAAACAAGCCCTTATTACATGCATATGCCTACATGGATTATTGAGTAAAGAGTGTATTGATTATTGATTTACATTAGAACTAACGAATGTATTCACACATTTTTTAGTAGTGTTGTTCAAGTAGTACTTCACTTCTATAGTAACATGTATGTGAGACACTTAACACATACGCACTATAAGGGGTGTTTAGATTTGCTTTTTAAAATTGTTTCTACACCTTTAGAGAGCATAATAGGGTATTATAGCATTTAAGTGGAAGTGAAGAAGTGCTTCTAAATGCTCCGGATTGCTTTTAGAAGAAACTTTTGAGAAGCCGGAGGACACCATACTCGTAAAAAACTAATTGTGCTTCTGCTCCCGCTTTTAAAAAATAAACAGAAACAAAGTCAATTCCAAACACTCCTAATTGATGAGTACCAATCGAACAATATTGATGCAACTCAGACAAGTTGAGATACTTTGGTTATAAAAACATGTATGATTAGTGACCATATTTGTTACCCATAATAGAAAAGTAAAAATTCACTAAAAATGATAGTATTAATATAATGCCATATTACTCATATATAGTACTCCCTCCGTCCCCTTTTAAATGTCCCGGAGGAGGGTGGCACGGGTTTTAAGAAAAGTGGGTTTGTGTGGTTGATATTAATTGATAAAGTAAGAATAAAGTAAGAATGATTTTGAGTCACACAAACTTTACCAAATAAGGTATGGGACATTTAAATAGGGACACCCCAATATGGTAAAACTGGACATTTAAAAGGGGACGGAGGGAGTATTATATTGGAATGCCATGCCTAGATATAGGTTTTGCTCTGTAGAGGGAATTGAATTTTCTTCTTAAAAAGAGTGACAAAAGGAAAATTTGTCTAAATATGAGTAAAATCCTGTGGAAAGTGTGAATGTATGCACTATTTACTCATGATGCACTATTACATGTTTGTGATTCACTTTTCGTAATAATAATAAAAAACATTAGTTTAATAAATAAACCGTCACCACATTTTTTATCAAGTCTAATGCACTGTTGACTTATTTTGAATCATTAGCTCTCAAATTTAATGCACAAGACCGACTCTCATTTTACATGAGAAGAACTATATTTATTTGAGCTAAATGCACAAGACAGACTCCCATTTTTCATGAGAAGAACTGTATTTATTTGAGCTAAAACCTACTCCGTATATACATGTCTATTCAATCATTATATACGTCTTTTACAGAATTAGAAAACAATTAAAAAAAGCTAATGAAAAGTCAGCTGTGTAATTTTGGTTGGTTATTGATTACAGATTATTTATTTACTACGTAGTATTTCAGAATGTACCATCCAAAAGAAAATATTCCATAAATCATAATATATACGGAGTATTTTATAATCTCTAAACAATATGTTGACAATGTATACTCCCTCCATCCCAAAACAATGTCATAGTTTGACAATCACACAGATTAAAAAAATAAATTTGATTTTACTGTTGGGTGCATTGTTTTGCACTGTTCAAACACTGTTTGACACTGTTTGAACACTGTTTGGCACTGTTTTGATGTAGATAATTTGTCAAATAAGAAAAGTATTGATGTGTGAAGTTAATTTAGGGACATCCATTTCCTGGAAAGCGGGAAGTTGTTTTTGGGACGGAGGGAGTATATACTTAAATTATAAATTATAATTACTGTACTACTTGAAATATATACTCCCTGCGTCCCATTTATATTGTCCCGGAAGAGGGTGACACGGTTATTAAGAAAAATGAGTTTGTATGGTTGATATTAATTGATAAAGTAAAAATAAAGTAAGAATGATTTAGAGCCACACAAACATTGTCAAATATGGTATGAGACAATATAAGTGGGACTTCCCGAAAAGGTAAAACGGAACAAAATAAATGGGACGAAGGGAGTATTGAATAAGAAATAAAGAATTCATACAAAAATAAAAGGAAAATGAAATACCGAGTATGAAATTTCTTTCAATTTAGTAGTATGCGCTTTCAATTAAAAAAACTTCTCACTCTTATACCCATTTTTACACACATAATATTTGTGCAAAGTTTTTTTATTTAAGAATTCAGAGACAAAATATTCGGCGTGTGAATGGGATTCGCACAAAAGGAAACCTTTCACAGGCATGATTGTTTTTTAATTAGGATATGACACATTTGTACGAAAATTCTTACGTAGAGCTCATAGTTTGATAAGACTAACGCAGACCTTGTCAGTTTTGCAGAGCGAATAGACCCTTTTATGAGATACTAGTACAATAATACACCAAACTTTCTCTTTTTTATTAGGAAAAATTGATAGTAATAATCTCAACTATTGGCGGTCCGCTTATAATAATCCCAACTATCGATTATTTCAAAATAATCCCAACTTTAGAGACCTTCTGCCAATAATGGTCCCTATAAATAAATTCTTGTACTTTTTGAAGTGGATGAAGAGAGATATTGCAAGTAATCTCTATAAATAATTTCAACTTTTAATTTTTACACTTAATTTCTATTTAAAATTCACTTTTTAGGAGGTAATATCTGGTCATGGACCATTATTGACGGACGGTCCATATAGTTGGGATTATACAAAAATAATCAATAGTTGGAATTATTATCAGCGGACCGGCAATAATTGAGATTATTATTTTCAATTTTTCCTTCTTATTATACGTACCCATTCCACTATTATGCTTCCGTTGTCATTTTAAAAAGCTTGACTGATTGATAAACTAAATGAATCTTTCTTTACAATCAAATTATTTTTAAGACAAAAAAAATAACTTATTTAGAAACTACAACAAAAAGCTTTACAAAGTCGCAAAAATTAGAATTAAATTACATAAAATTTTGATATATAAAATAAGAGATTAAGAGTTATTTGTGTGACCAAGTGAATAAGAACTGGGACAATAATAGTAGGACGGAGACGTAGAAGTTTAGTATATTATCCATTGTGTTTAAAAAATGCGTCAAATTTCATGTGTTAAAATTATTCATTAGCAGAACTCCTATGAATAAATTTAATTGTCAAATACAAAAGAAGTGATTTACATTTTTGTGTAATTTAGAGATTATAAAAAACTAACTTGCATAGTCAATCATAATATAAGAAAAAAGACTTACAAATTGTTGATTTTGGTTCTGCACGTAAATAATTAGTATTCCCTCCTTTCCGTTTTAATTAGTCAGACTTTTTCAAGTCAATGGTGTCTAACTTGACCAATTGTATACTTATATATTTAGAAGTATTGATAATATAAAAATGATATCAAAATGTTCTTTATTAAAAATATTATCATAAAGATATACAAATATTAAATTTTCCATAGATATATTAGTTAAAATAATTGGTCAAAATTTATCATTTTTAATTGAAAAAGTCAAAGATAATAACTACGGAGGTAATATAATTCTAAGGGATTTGACACATATTTCAAAACAGGTGGATTAATGTGTTGTAATTCTATATCAAAGGATTAGGTGCATTAACCCCCCTTTTTTTCCTAACTCATGACCATCGATCTAAAATAAATTTAAAAGTAGACTACTAGACTGATCATCTTAACGTATTGTATTTAATCACGGATTGTTTTTCAGATTAATTAATTTTAAGTGCACAAAATCAAATAATTTATCCGAGTTGTTTTTTTCAGATTAATTAATACGTAGTATATTTCTAATTTTCTAAATGTTGAGGTAATATACGGAGTAAAAATGTAGTACAGTATGTGATTGTTTTGAAGTTTGTATTTTTTAAGGGAAATCACTTGTATTAAATTCAAGAAGAAAAATGTTTGGTGTACATATTTCAAACGTTCGTCTGTCTCACGCACATAGAATTGTCTATCCGCAAACAATTCCGTAGAGTTGTCAGTAGACAGATAATTCTTTATGTGTGAGAAAAACGAATGTACAAAAGATGTACATCAAAATTTGTACACCAGTTGATTCAAGAATCTAATCATCCTTATAGGACTAAAAAACAGAATTGAACCTAGCTTAAATGAGCACATCAAACCAGTGATCATTTTGAGAATTCAGTTATTTTTCCGATTCTAATTAGAGTCGCATTGCTTCTGATCAATACCAACCTACTCGTAATAGATCCTAAAATCTGATAAGAAGTACCAACACTCTTCAACTTGTAACTAACAATAATTGACTCTAATTTAAAGTAGAAAGAAAACTGAAACAAAATCAAACTCACCTTGGAAACAAAGCAGTGAGTTATTTGCAACTATTGGTCTTTATTCTAAGGCTAATCAGCAATCACAAGATCCGGGGTGAAAAAGCCGGTTTTCACCCCAAAATCCCTGATTCCCTTCAATCCATATATTTGGAGGTGTCAAAGTGGATATATACATGTCATCAAGGTGGTGATATTTTGGCACCCCCATTTACCCTTTTTGGCTTGCTAGAAGAAGGTAGCTGGAAGAAAATCGGAAGGCGGCTATTTGTGATGCGGGGAGCATGTGCACGACCCAAGCAAACAAACCTTATTTTAAAAAAATTCTATAACTTTTTTCTTTGTACTTTAATTTAATGTTTACAAATAATACATACGGAGTAGTATATCAAAATTAGTATTCCCTCCGTCTCAAAATTAACTATCACGTTTGACCTCACAAGTTTTAGATAGGAAAAATGTCAAAGTTGATTTTTCAAAGTTACTGTTCCAAATAATGAAAGGAGGTAAATGAGTATGACAGTACAACTAGTTTGGGGCAAATGAGTACTTTCAAAGTAAAAGCTTACCAAAATAAGAAATAAAATACCGAGTAAGTAAAACTTTAATTTTGGGACATCCCAAATATGAAAAGTGGAAGTTAATTTCAGGGAGTGTAACTTGTTAAGTTGTAATCTTTCATATGAAATCAATATTTTATATACTTCGTATGAAGTAAAAAATACGAAGTTTAAATGGTTGAAGATTTTCAAACCCATTTTTTTGTTTAAGTAGATTCAGGTGCTAAAATTAAGATCTCCTGATTAAACTATTCTTTATACATCTTTCAGATATTCTTTTAAGAATGAATTTGAAATATTAACAATAAAATTAAACTCCAAATTTATGTTTTTACATTGAAATGTTTAACCTTTTAAAACACACCCATTCACACACACAAAATGTTGTCTAATCATAATTAATAAAAGTACAACTTTAATTAAAAAGAAGATGGTAGGAAAAAATCTTATACTCCGTATAACTGACCAAATGAATAATTATAAATCATAAAATCAGTACAAAAATGGAGTCAGTGCTAAAAGAAAGAATAATTTCTGGTGTACACCCTGGGATACACCCTGGGGTACACCCTAATTATTTGTCATTCACACAGACAAAAAAAACACAAATACCGTCACTTTCGGTAAAATTGTCGGTGTGAAGAAAATTAGTTTTCAAATTTGTCAGGCTGGTTGCACGGAAACCAATGTCGGAGTACACAGACACTAGTTGTTGGTGTAGACAAAAAAGTGACGGTGTGAACAAATTTGGTTTGCAAGTCTGCCACAGGGTTGGAAAACCGGTGTCAGTGTAAACCAACATTAGTTAACTGTGTAGAAAAAGTGTTGGTACATGTACAATTTTCGTTTTATGCACACCTACATTGGTTTGCTTTAAGTGTCTGTGCACACAGACAAAAATTGTACATGTACAGACACTTTTTCTACACAGACAACTAATGCATGTGTACACCGACACTGGTTTTCCAACCCCCTGATAGACTTCCAAACCAAATTTGTTCACACTGTCACTTTTTTGTCTACACCAACAACTAGTTTCTGTGCACACTAACAACAAGTGTCTGTGTACACCGACATTTGTTTCCGTGCAACCGGCCTGACAGATTTGAAAACTAATTTTCTTCACACCGACAGTTTTACCAAAAGTGTATGTATTTGTGCATTTTTTATACTCCCTCCGTATCACATATATCTTCTCACTTCCAAAGTGGGTGAGATTAAGAATAGTGAAAGAGGATATGAATTATTGAGGATGTGATGAGAAGATAGTGAAATAATGTGATGGAATGAAGGATAAATCCAAAAAAAATAGGTGTAATAGTGTATTATTTTTAAAATTATTGGGGGTATGATGGGAAGATTTAGAAATAGAAAGATATAAATGTTACGTCCATAAAAAGAAAGTGAGAATATATGAATGTTACTAAATAATTAGGGTGTACCTGGCTATATATTTTTTTTTTACTAAAAGAAAACATTCACTCCTCAGCTGTCTCCATTGGCTATGACTAGGCACTTAGCAAGCATGGTCCGACATGAATGATCTGATATGATCGCCAACTAATTTGTACAAACATCACTTTTCTATAATATTTTTGATAGGATATAGTCTATTTATTCGACTAAACAATATGCCGATCTAGTCTCGATCCTCTTCAGGGAGCCAGATAATTTTGTTTTTTTGTACGGTTACTTTTGTTCAATCAGTTTTGTTTCCTTGTTTTTTAATTAAATAATCCAATAATGTTTGTAGTTAAAATGAGTTACTTTTAAAAAACAAAACTAATAAAAGCAAACAATGTTATTTTGTTTATCACTTTGAAGTACAAAGTCAATAGAATTTATATTTTGTAGGTAGTATTCCGGTATTCCCTCCCTCCCACATTTAAGTTTACAATTTAACTAGCTTTGTCTGTTAGTTAGTCAAAAATCATATACTTTTTAATAGAGAGAATTCCTCAAATAGGAGTAAAACATAGACAAAATGCAAAAATACGAGTATCATGTTTTGAATAGGAGTAACTTTAATGTTTGGACAAGTATACCTCTACCCAAGCCCCAACAACTTTCATTAATAATTAAAACATAAAAGAAATAAGATTAATTAATTTATAATAAAATTGAAAAAAAAACACAAAAAAATCAAATAAAATATACTCCGTATTAAATAAAATAAAAAATTATTAAGATAAAAAAAATAAAAAATGAAAAAATATATAAAAAAAATATGTAGGTGTCTGCCGCCGCGGCGCCGCCTCAACAACCTCCCAACTACACCAGCTCCGACCACTGAAAAAAATGCCAACATTTTCCCGAAATGGCATTATGATGGCAGATTTTGAGAAAATTTGGCATTTTCAAAGAGTAAAACTATCATCTTTATGGCATTTTCAAAGAAAATGATACTGTAGTTTTTACATAAGATGGCATTTTTTTCGCCGATCGGAGGTGACATTGCTGGGTGATGACCGAGACTGCGGGAAAGGCCTGCATAATTTTTTATATTTTTTAATGCAGTTTATCTATTTTTATTTATTTTTAAAGTTTTTTATTTTTTGAAAATTATTTTTTAATTTTTAATATTTTAATATTGTTGGGATGAACTTAGATTTTTTTATATTTTAATAGGATCAAATAAGTCATATTTTAGAAATATTTTAGAATTAACAAAGGTAGGGATATTAAGAGTACAAAATTAATCTTTACTCCTATATATTGAAGGAAGTTTTAAGTTTTACTCCTATTTGTGCAATTATGTTTATGTCTACTCCTATATTGGGCAACTTCTCTTTATAATACCAAGTAATTTGAATGCTTCATTTTAGCATGGAGTATTTATTATTTAAATTTTAGTTTATTACGTAGTAAATGTTTTATAATTATATACTTTTATATTTCTATTGTCAAACATTTATATTGGACCAGAGATTGTGAAACGTTGATCCTTAACATAGTTCAAAATTTTTAGTTTAAAATTTAGAATTAGTAGGGAAGAAAATACAGATGCATGATTTTTTCGTTAGTCCTTTTACTTTTTTAGTTCTTTTTAATGAGTATTCAATTGATTTGAGTATAAGTATTTGGATTGATATTTTTTAAAAACAATGATATATTAATTTGGGGCCTCTGTTTTACATTTAGAACCGCGGCCTCCAAATTCATTAGATGGTCGTGCACATGATATACCGATACCACGGTATAATATGCGTCAAAATACACATAAAGCCTACAAATCTAAAAGATTAAACCATACTTAAATGAGAGAGTTCCCTAAATAGGAGTAAAAACGTTTTGAAATTCCAAAATAGAAGTATCATGTTTTTTATTCCCTGAATATGAGTAAATTTCTGCCAAGTTTGGCATTACAAGGCTTTTAACATGGCTTTTACAAACAAAAAAGCTTTTAACATGGCATTTTTTCCCAAACTTGGCAGATTACTCCTATTCAGGAATAAAAAACATGATACTTATATTTTGGAATTTCAAAACATTATTAATCCTATTTAGGGCGATTTCTGTACTTAAATAGAGCAAACAAGAACAGAACAAAACAAATTAGAAAATTTGAGTCCAATTAAAAACATCAAGTAGGCATTGAACAAAGTTCCTGGTTTTTTTCTACATTCTCGAGTTTCTGACATCATTCAGTTGAAAGAAATACTACGTAAAAGATAAAAATCATTTATCAAGTTTTACATTAATAATTGAAAGCTTGCAATATAATTAAGGATATGAAGCACATATTGAATTTGTGCAAGAGGTCTTCTTTTCATTTTCTCACCACAATGTATATAAAAACAACCAATGTTTTTCCCTTAAAACTACTTTCAAGTTAATATTGTAAATTTATTTGCAGACCTGCAATTGTGAAAATATGGAGTGAAAGAAAAGTAGCACATTTCTCATCTGCACCATACCTAGCCACATTCATCAACTGTGGCCTTTGGTTAGTGTATGGAACTCCCATTATTCACCCCAAGGGCCTGCTCGTGATGACCATCAATGGCGCGGGCGTAGCCATTGAAGTCGTCTTCTTGTTTGTATTTTTCTTTTGTTCAGACAAGAGAAAAAGGTTGGAATTAGGGGTCGCCATCCTCGTCGAAGTTATTTTCTTTGCAGCTCTGGTTGCTCTGGTCATTACCCTTGCACATACTTGGGAAACTCGGTCTGCTGTTGTTGGTGGCATTGCAGCACTAGCTAGTATTGTCATGTACGCTTCTCCTTTGGCAAGCATGGTTAGTTTCATTCCTTTTTTTATATGCTTCTAACATAACTAGTATTATAGTATCTCTTGATTCTCTTCTATGATTATATCAACATATATACTTAATTGAGATTTGGGACGAGACTCAATCTTGTTACCTTCTCTTTGAGAGCGTAACAGTGATGTCATTCGACTATTATAAGATACTTACCGGTTAGTCTCATTCTATTACACCACAATTTCGATATTCAATGATGGTCAAGCGATACAACAACGTAACAAGAAAAACATCGAAGCCAAATCTCAAAAAGATGTGTTAAGACCCGGAGTTTCATCCTAAAAGGTCAACCTGATAGTAGGAGTAGCCCAAAGTCTTATCTAGTGTTTTGTTATTTTATAGCTTTCCGGTGTGGGACAAATACTTCAACACGCCCCCTCAACCCGAACCGGGCTGGACAATATTGGGGTGTATAAATGGGCCAAATGGACCCTTAACAAGCTACCCGTAATCATGGGTGCTAAACTAGCAGTCAAACCACAACCGGAATTGGCTCTGATACCATGTTAAGACCCGGAGTTCCATCCTAAAAGGTCAACGTGATAGTAGGAGTAGCCCAAAGTCTTATCTAGTGTTTTGTTATTTTATAGATTTCCGGTGTGGGACAAATACTTCAACAAGATGTATTTGGGATGACTAACATCAATCAATATAATATACTACCTCCAGGCTCCGCCCCACATTGAATGTCTTGTTTCAGTTTGACACAATTATTAATAAAGTGGTTGAAAAATAAAATTTGTTATTGACATTTGAATAAAATATGATGAAATGATACAGATTACCTATTTCTTGTCACAAAAAAGGAACATGGCATTCATTCATTTTTGGGACAGGTGAATAATCCAAAAAGGGAAGTTAGACAACCAAAATAGGACGGAGGAAGTAATGTAATGTAATGCAAATATAATGCAATGTAAATAGTTTTGCAATTCTAAATTCTGAAATTTATTGCTATACAGAAATTGGTGATCACCACGAAGAGTGTGGAATACATGCCATTGTCCCTTTCAGTTTGTTCATTAGTGAATAGTCTCTGTTGGAGTCTCTATGCCCTTATGCGAATGGAAATCTTTATTCTGGTAACTATTTACTCAATATCAAAAACGAAATTTTGTACATTTGCTTATGTATACACATTACACAGGACTATAAAGAAACGGAAGACTATATTAATATGTGCCATTTTAGGTATAAAATAAAAAATAGCATATAGTCTTTTCCAATGCCATTTTAGTAAGAATATCCATAATGTAGAAATTGTTTGGGCAATTTTTAGGCACCTAATGGTATTGGAGTGCTACTTGGGCTTGCCCAAATTCTATTGTATGCGAAGTACTACAAATCCAGCAAAGGTGTTGAAAGGAAGCGAGTTCTTGTGGAAGTTGGGTCAGAAGTTGGCTTGACCCAGGGAAACAAGAAACCAATGAGTGAGGCTTGAAAGAAATGGCGCAATAGTTACCCTCCTTGGATACATGATAACAAAACATTCTCTACTTCATGCATATTACATTTATGTTACAATACAATATATATGAAATATGTAGTATATTTTTCTCTCATCCCAAGTAATTTTTTATCAAAAAGTTGTCATATAGTAATATCAAGTGTATTATTAATTTATTATTTATCGAAAATTCCCGGGATATCACTAAAACTTATTCAATTTCACTAAATATAACGATGTTTATTTTTAGACATTCGTGTGACCGAAAATAAAATAAAAAACTTGTCATATACTAGTATTAAAAAGTTAAAGGATAAATATACCATTATTAAAAAAGTTGCTCCCTGGCCATGCAAGGATTCACTGCATTAAAGGATACTGGATTCACATTCAAATGTTAAAGGATAAATATCAAAGAAAATAAGTGAAACCACAAATTAATTGATTAGAATGAGAAGTGACCAAAATTTTAAGACAATTAAAAAAATGAAAAATATGGTTCGACAAACGAAAAGATCAATATGAGTACTTATATATCTTAACATTTCTATGGTATACACTTACACATATATTGGCCTTAGTTGATTTTGTCAGCAAACTTTTGTTAAATTGGCTATTTAAGAATAATCATTTGCAAGTAAAAAGACATATAAGGAAATTAGTATTGAATTTTATTTTTAGCTATTGCATATAAATACAATATTCCCTACAATTTACTTAATAAATATAAATCATTGTACATCAATAAAAGGCCATGCCGGAAAAAAAGAAACTGAAAGTGCATATAAATTCTTTATTGCATGCTTCATGGATCAAAGTCAAAAAAGTTAAAGACTAATTAAAAAAGAAACATCGTTACAATATAAATGTAATAGAAACGAAATAAAAAATATGCGAAGCATGAATGAAGGGCATTAAAGGGAGAAACTGGAGCAGCCGAATCCAAACGCGAGACTATATAGCGTTTTAATTGGTTTTTGGGTAATTGGGAAAAGGAACAAACATGCCTCTCTAACCGGAGCTAGTCATGGACCCAGGCCGGGTCAGGCCCAGACCGGGTCAGGCCCGGGTCGGGCCTAGGGTTTTTTGGAGGAGGTCCGGGACCAGCCCGGGTAGCCACCGGGTCCGGGCCTGGCCGGGCCGGGCCTCGGGTAATTTTTTTTCCTTTTCCTAATTAACCCCCCCCTAACCCCTCACCCCCAAACCACCCCAAATGGCCCAAAATACCCCGCCCAACCCGAAAAGATAAAAAAAATTGAAAAAAAATTAAAAAGCCCGGAACCGGGCCCGAACTGTCCGTTCGGGCCGGTTCGGCTTTTGGGTGACCCGAGCCCGCACCGGGAACCCCCCGGGCCGAGCCTACCAGGACCGGTCACTGACCGGGCCACCAGGCCGGGCCGGTTCAGCACAGTACCAGTCCCAGGCCGGTCCCGGGCCGGTTCCGGGTCGGGCCACCCGGCCCGAGTCCAAGACTAACCGGAGCAGATACTCTAATAGGTTTAGAAGAACATGCAAAAAAATACATCATGATTAGAGGTCCTCTATTTCTTCCCCTATTTAGATTTGAATTTTACATCTAATATCCATCTCTTCTCATTTCTATTTAGAGATGGCAACGGGCAAATCCAGGACGATTATACATATAACCGTACCCGCCCCGTTGGGTAATTCCCCCGCCTTGTAACCGCCCATTAGGCCATTAACCAACGGAATGGCATCACCTTGACGAAAATATTTTTAACGGGTCGTGAGTGAAGGGTAATTTTGGACCAAATTTGGGAATGTTTAAGTTTTTTGTTCTATGAAATGAAATAGAATAATGGCATATAGGTTCCAAAGCCTATTCTAAAAGGAAATATTTGTTCCTTTCCTCTTTATCAAACAATTATATTTTTAGATAGTCAAACTCATTAATTGTAATCAAAGAAGCTAAAAAATAGCTGATGAGCCATTACTACTATGTACTAACTAGTTTTTCTAATATCTCTTCTGCAAGTATCTAAGTATCCTATCAGTCATTTATTAGCATGTAAGAAAGCAAAACACCCTCTCTGGGTGAATTGCGTGTAGCGTCTTACCCACAAACCGACCAATTGAAAAAAACAAAGTTATTTCAACATGACCTAATCTTTCGGTATGGTATCTAATAACACAGATAATAAAACATTGCTCCCCAAACCAAACAAGTTAGAGAGCCCATACAAGACATTGCTCCCCAAACCAGTTCGAGGCCAAGAGTCCAGCAACAAAGTTTTAGATGTATTGTTATGTAGCAAGGAGTTCTGTGAACCTGAAAACCAAAGCGAAACGGCATGGATACAGGGTCATATTTTAAAATAGGAATTTCGCCTCATTCTAGACTTCATTCCATTTTCTTGATAGCTTTCATAACTTGCAGGAAGATTCTTCTTGAAGGAAACCATCGCTCAGCAATTAAGCTTGTTCCTTTGGAACGCTACATGAAACAAATTTGAGTGGTCAATTGATGTATAATCATCATCATTATCATTACCCCATTACCCCTGTACTAAAGCACAGAGAGACTGTTTCCGGATGACCCATGTGAAAATTGCGTTGAAAATTGCATGGACTGACTGCTGCTTCATAACAAAGAAGCGCAGACAGTTTAGTGAGTCATTTTGCTTTATTCCATCATATTCTTAAGCCAAAAAATAGTGAGTTTTTGGCTCCATTACAAATGATGGAAAAATATGATTAAAAAAAAACAGGTAACTTTCCAACAAAAATAACTAGTTAAGGTGGAAAGCAATGGAAGCATGGATATATGGTCATATCATACTAAACTATAGAATGTCACCTCAATCTACTCTTGCTTCTATTTTCTTGATAGCATCCTCAATTGCGGGAAGATTCTTCTTGAAGGAAACCCATTGCTCTGCAGTTAAGCTTATTCCTGTGGAAAGTAATACCAAAACCAATTTGAATCAAATTATCAAACATGGCTGAATAGTGACACTAGTGCACTACGTTTTCCATTCAAGTGTCAGCTACAGATCTTATCATATTAGACCACATCATTTTTCTAACTGTCGCATGGGAGAAGAAAGGTTGCTCAGCAAGAGGCCGCTACACCCTACTCTTTGGAAATCCAAAGGGGTTAGCCGGCATGGCATTCAGAAGGTAGTAAATTACCATTGAAGAAGTAAAAATGTTCATGTTCGAATTCGAAGACCACACACTTGGACCTAATGACAACAAGCTTTTCCCAAAAGAGAATCATCGAATTGCAGATTTGTAGATCCATACCGCAATAAATAAGACGAAGAGGGCTATTGTAGGAAATACTGTAGTGTGGTGCATTGGGAGTCATGACTAGTTAGCATAAGGTAAATTTCAGTGATAAGTGGAAAGTGAGAAATTGATGAAGAACTTCAAAGTTCCAAATGGGCCCACGGATTGGATCACTCTCTTAGGAGATGATGACTATTGCGAGAGCAAGTCTGCTGCTCTCTCAGATTAAGATCGAGCAAACGCTGAGGTAATGGGGGACTCTATGGTTAATATTCTATTTTAAGTTTTTAATAATAAAAAAATTGAAACGTTTATCTAGGTGGTCCTCAGCACGTATAACACTAGCTTCGCTGACTAGGGCTTTGAACATAGAATTTCTGCTATATCCCACACACACAAAATCTTAAAATTCGAATCCAATGAAAAATTCTGAAATAAAACTTGTTTTAGAAGATAGCCTTTTAGGGTTATTTATTAATAAACTTACTTTGAATGCTATTGGGAATTAATAACACTTTCTAAATTAGGAAAATTGTATGCATGACATCATTAGTTTTTCCAAATTGATGCACAAGACTGATTGCCTGCCAGCTGATGTAGTGGCTGGAGACGTTTGCCACGTAGATTGGCATATTGTTTGCATGCATGCAGGGCTATTCAGTTCTAGAAAGGCAATGCAGTTTAACTTGTGGACCATTATTACACAAAGCAGAAGTACATTGACACTTCCCAACAATGTTCTGCAATGCCTCAACTCCCTGGGGTTTGCCTCACAAATTACGCAAACTATGCAATGTTGAGACATATGCCTTATTGGGATGAGGTATATGCCTTGAGGCATATGCAATGTATCTTTAAGATTGAATCTTTTATGTAAAATATTGAATATAAGACACATATTTTATGTTAAACATTTGAAGTTCCTAAACAGCTAACAATCATATCTTATATCCATCATGTGCATATACAAGGTTGACCCCAAGCTTGAAGAAGTGGCTAAATTGTGTACTCATACAGTCTTATAGGTGAATCCTTTAGAATCAGCCCAAAGCACTTTTGAAATTATTCATTAACAGATAAAAACAACCTCACTAATCACAATAATTGGTGTTCACTAGATTTAATACTAATGAAGTGTATAACTACTACAAGGACCATCCATATAAACTTTTATAATTCAACTGATTCTTGGCATAGCTTGTCACATTATAAGAATAAACACATTTGGTCCTTCACTCTCCTATTCCTAACTTGAAAGGTCACTAGTCAGTGACATAACTTACTGAAATGTAGCTAGTCTTTGGCTTAGCTTGTAACCAAAAAATGAATCATCCTACAAGCATATCTATAAGAATGTAACTAGAAAAAAACAAACGTTCCCCACCCTATTGAAGATAAAACGCATCAATTAACACACTACTAATATGGCCAAGACCCACCATCTTGTACTTTTGCAGATGATCAAAGAGAATGAACATACACTTTTAGTTAGAATTTGCTGGAGTGTATGTGGCTGGTAGTCAATTCATAAAAGAGGGTGACTTAAAACACAAAAGGAAACTGAAAACAACAAAAAAATGTGCAAAACTGCTCTTTTCATATCTAGTTGTAATTTGTAAACTACTTTGAAAGAGGTAGGAAGCCAAGGCTTCAAGCATGTAATTATTACCTTTAGATGAAGGGCATTCTTTTCCATCTTTCCAATAGTATTCCCTTATAGACAGTAGAGTCTTCCCTCTAAACTCAGTTATCGTCACCCTTCTCTTCTTATTCAACTACACCAAAGTAGAGGAAACCATACAGTTTGCTGAGCAATAAACACTGTTATACATATATACTCTACACAAAACTTCAATGGCTTTTGGAGTTAAAAAAACAAAAGCTACTTGTTTGGTTAAGACCAAATTAAACATTTAAAAAATGATTTTCGACGCGATTTTCACAAT